CTTAAAATGTTTGTTTGACAATTCTGTACTTTTTATCCTTGGAGCTTTTAAAGCATTATTTGGAGCGAAAATGAGTTAGTCAGACAGGTGTCATTCGTTTTAGCAGAAAATGAAAAATTAATAGAACATATTTGTGACTGGCTTGCCGACTTAGGAATGAAAATGTTATTCACTGGACACATAGTATAGTAGTACGCATTCATTTACACGTATAAGCAAAATGTGCATGAAAGAAAATTATGTACATCTTAAAATTTTGTATAATTATAATTTCGAAGATAAAATGCTGTATTAATGTTCTGAAAAACGCATTATTGTACGTCCATCATCAATTTGATTGTTTATTCTACAACTCTAACTTTGTGAATTTTTTTTTTTTTTTTTTTTAATTCGAAAGAGATTCTATGGTCTCATAAAGAGGAGGGGAATGTTGTGAGTTGGTAGACTACCAACTTTTGGGCCTCAGCCTCTTTTAAATTTTGATCAAAACCGGCCCAAACGATAGACAAATCAAGAGCCGGGTGGCCAACCCGATTTCCATATACTGGTGGTTCCTAAAATTCCCGCACGCTGTTAAACCCTTGAGTTGAGCTATCCAAATTTTGGGTCGCTCCGGCAGTGCAGAAGAGCGATGGATAGAGAATGGGGTTCGAAGCCAGGCAGCGGAGGCGCTGCCTCCGCCCAGAATGAGGCCATTGACCGGCGAGAACGGCTGCGACGACTTGCCCTCGAGACTATCGACCTTGCAAAAGATCCCTATTTTATGCGCAATCATCTGGGCAGCTACGAGTGCAAGCTGTGTTTGACGCTACACAACAATGAGGGGAACTATTTGGCTCACACGCAAGGGAAACGCCACCAGACTAATTTGGCTAAAAGAGCCGCTCGCGAAGCCAAGGAGGCTCCTGCTCAACCCCAGCCTCACAAGCGCAAAATTGCACTTAAAAAATCCGGTAAGAATATAGTGTACTAATTCAATCTTTGAATTTTGTTTGGAACCAATTTTTGCTGTTGATTTAGAATGTTTGGCTAATTAGTATGACTTGTAATTGGAGAGCTTAAAATGAGGACTTTTAGGGTTTTGTAGGTAGGCTTTTTCAGCAGCTAAAATACTTTGTTAGTCCATTTGAAAAAAAAAAAACACTGTCGGTGATTGTTTTTCTCCTCCTAGACTTACAAATATAAGTGATTTTCTGAATGCATAAAAATTACTTCCAGGAATTGCTATTTCTAATAGTAGGTTCTCTTGGAGGCTTTGTGATTTTATAACGTTGGGTTTGATTTTTAGTAATAAAACGTATCTAAACTTATATTTAGGACCTTCAGATTTGATCGTTCATGTGCTATCTAGTTTGTGCTTTTTACCTGCTAATGTGTAATGCATGATCTGAGTTTTCACAACTAGTTCAGTAAGTCATTACTTATTTACTCCTCCTCCCCATAGAAAACATGTTTATGGACTTCAATTTCGTAACTTTCTGCGTTGTTTTAGTTAAAATTGGCAGGCCTGGATATCGAGTGACAAAGCAATTTGATCCAGAGACAAAACAAAGGTCACTTCTCTTCCAGGTGAGGAAATACTTTTCTGTGCTTGTTATGATAGGGTTCTCATCTCAATGTTGAGTTTAGCTCTTAGCTGTTCTAGTCCATTTACTCTCTCTCTCTCTCTCTCTCTCTCTCGATTGGGGGAATACCATATTAGCAAAGTAAGCATGGAGCTATAACAGAAAAAGGGTGCATCTAGAGCAGGAGTGTTAAACAAACCTTATAATATGAATCAATAATTGAATGTGTTTTGGTTCTCATGTATTCACTCATCAGAATGTCAAGTATAAGCTATTAATCTAGAGATATTTTCTTCTGTTTTCTGGTTCTCCCCTTTTATTTTCTTTTACTACCTTCTGAACTCATTTATTTTGTTTTTTTTCTATCGATAGAAACTAGCTAGTGGTCCTTTTGGCTAAGGATGTTATTTGCAATTTAATTGTCACTCAAAAACCTATTATAGACCTTCTTCTCTTTTCAAGGTGATTTTGGGATTGATATTGTGACCAGATCAGCTCAATGTTTCTGTTGTTTTCAGATTGAGTATCCTGAGATTGAAGACAACACAAAGCCAAGGCACCGTTTTATGTCATCCTTTGAGCAGGTACCCTATATCTTTGCACAAGTTTCATGCCCAGAGTACTGGCCTTTGAGACATAATGTCTTCTTCTTTGGTTGATTTTTGTGCCTTAATAGTCCATTCAAAAAAAATGAAATGGCAAAATTTAGTTGCTTTTTTGGAAAAGTTTCTGAAGTTAACATAAGATGCTAATTTTTTGTGTTTTCTTTTTTGATCTGATTTGCAGAAAATCCAACCTTTTGACAAAAGATATCAGTTTCTTCTATTTGCGGCTGAACCTTATGAAATCATTGCTTTCAAGGTAATTTGATCACAAGAACTTGATGCTTAAAAATGCATTAATGCTGGCTCAGTAATGGATTTTGACTCTGAATTCATTTTGCAGGTTCCTAGCACGGAGATTGATAAATCAACTCCCAAGTTCTTCTCACACTGGGATCAAGACTCTAAAATGTTTACGGTATGAATTAAATCTTCCTTCTGCTGTGCCTTGCAATGGATGTCCTTGATTCTTTCCTTTTTCTTTTGTTCATCCATGTAACTATTGGTGAGACCAATTCTGTTTGATATTCATATCCATGAGAGCGGTCTTGGCATCTCTTAGCTAGGGTGTGGAATAGGCTGGCACCATCTAGAGAAGTCTCAGTGAAAGCTTTTCAGTTGAAATCTTGTCACCTAGATAATTAGGCTGGATAAGCATTTTCTTTCTTTTATGAAGCATGTGGTATTTAAAGCTATTTTTTTTCACCTCAATGTCCACTGCTTTGATACAGGGTAATACTGTCAAACTAGGCCTTTTCAAGTTGAGTAGTGGCTGGAGTCTTATCGAGAATATTTGCCCAATAGATAATTCCTTCTTTCATATCTTAGATATGTTAGATGCTTCTTAAAAATTCCTATCTGACCAAAGCTTATATCCCTGTTTAGTCTTGCGTTCTATTCCTTAATATTGGAATTTGTGGAGTTTTGTCTGATGATCATCCTCTCGTGAAATGATGTACAGCTCCAGCTATATTTCAAGTCAAAGCCTCCTGAAGCAAATAAACCTCAATCTGCTTCTGCAGCCAATGGGACAGCGGCTCCTGCTGCTCCACCTAGGCCTGCGCCGCCTCCACCTCAAGCTCCACCACCACCTCCACCACCTCAGGGACTCCCTCCGGCAGCTCCATCAGGGAATATTCCAAGAGGTCCACCTTCTATATCTGGTTCCGTTCCCCCTCCGCCACCTATAGCAAATGGTTCTATGCCTCCTGGTGGAACTTTGCCTGCTCCACCACCCCCAATTGGCAGTGGTGCAATGGCTAATTTTACTCCTGGTACACAAATGGGAAGACCGCCAATGGCGCCTCCACAAGGCTTTCAAGGGCCACCTCCACCACCGAATATGGGTTGATGGGTTTTTTCTCCACTTCAGATCACAACGTCAAAGGGAAGATGAAATAGTTCTTTGTATCAAATATGAATTTAGTGCCTTGTATTGAGCTGATTTCTTGCTGCATGGGAAAAAATTTGAGCTTAAATGTTGAAAGTCTAAAAAATTAGGGAGACTTCCGGAATTATGGAGTGAATATCAATAGGAATCTGAAATTATTAGATAACCATTTCCATTGTTTTTCTCGAGTTGTTTTCTCAATGTTAATTTGGCGCGCTTTCTGGATTCTTCTGAGAATAAATCCTGGCTGAGTGATATTAACACGACCCCGCAACACCGGTTAGCCTGTGCTTGTGCAATTGTCACCTTATGTCCTATGCAGCCTGCACAATCAAGGTTCATCCAAAAGAAATACAATCTCGACTGTATAAAACCTCTTGTGGTGTTAAAGCCTCACTTGGTTCTGATTAATTTTGCTGATTAAAATAACCTTTTAAAGACTCTTTCTTGGGTAAGCCATTTCGGTTAATCAGGAGATGATTTATACAGAATGTGCTGTTTCAAACATCTTGCATGTATATTTATTGTAATCTTGTCATGATAATGTTTAATGGCTTATTTTTCACATTAGAAAGTGAACACAACATTAAAAACTCCCTCTCAAGACGTCTACGAACAAGGGTGTATCCAGCAAGTGCTTTGTTCAGATCAGAGCAGAAAGGGAAAATTCTGCACTACTATGATGACTGTACCATATTCTTCATTTCTTAACTTACTGATTGTATTGAATTAATAATATTACAGCCTAACCAAATGAGCCAAAGGGGCATTGGTATGGTGGGAAAGTTCCAGCGAGAATACAAAGTGAACCTACTTCAGAAGCGCCATCACATCTACTCGCGGAATGCCATATCAAATAGTGACCCGAACGCAGCCACCGCAAAGCGAGCAACAAACCACCCAATTTTATGTAATATCTTTTAAGCAAGCACCTTTCCCTGGATTACGGGCTGACAATTGCATTTGCACACTTTCAAGTCTAGACACCAACACAACCAACTCTCAATAGAGGAGTTGGCCACCATCAAGCGTGCCACTAATTGCCACAGGTGTGGCTCTCCAAATCTAAACGGGTGTGTAGTGCACCCGTATGGTCCGATGCTTGTACAAAACATGACACCACCACCACAACATACAAAACATGACAGACTTTCTCATTTTTTGATACTTGTACCGAAAAATTGTGCTAGTGTTACATCCGTTCCGCGTCTTTTCCACATTGCAATTGTAGGAACCGCTAATCCCCTCTGCTCGCTCCCTCGTGTAGTTAACTTATTTCTTCGTACCTTAACACCCATTAGTCGCATGATTGACACCATCTTGCATACAGATCAAGGGTGCTAGAACTGAATGAATTTCAGATGCCCTTTTCAAGGAACGCTCCTCTTAAGAGGAACAAACACGACTAAAATTATGGGGCTGGACGAAAGTTCGTTCAGCAGCTGTAGAACAGATTTGTCAAGAGAAGCATTTTTCATTGAACAAGAGATGTATCACCGTGGGAATAAATTCTAAATACATACAGCACTGGACGTAATCTTCAAGCAATCAACAACCACAGATTGGAAAAATCGCAAACAAGGAAAGAGCTAGACTTCAAAACGTTCCACTATTGTTTGCGCTGTATCATGTTGTCAAGGCAATGAGAGGACCAATTCCACCAGCAGGAAAAGACCAATTCCGGGCCTAAATTTTCTAATTTGCTACTGTATTTGGAGGGAACACCTTCTGAATAAATTCCAGGAACCTCTGGGAATAGAAAGTAGGATCCACGGCAGATATGGAAATGGAATCAAACTGGATAGACTTGTATGCATGTTCTATCTTCTTGGTTATGTTGTACTCTTGTAATATGTCAATGATGCCCAGATACAAAACAACATCATAAGCCTCGTGAAATATCTGGTTATCATCATTTCCCGGAGTATGCTCTGCTCTTGCAGGCATATTAACTCCAAGCTGGATCTGGAGTCTGCTAAGCATCAGACAGAAGCAAAAGATATCACTAGCAAAGCAAAGCTCCACATAAAATGCAGCACAAAAATCTGCATTTACTGTAGTTACTAGTTTGTAAGCCCAAGTTTCTTTATTTATCACCTAAATTATTATGAGAAGTTACATATCAAATATACCAGAAAAAGCAAGTTAATTCAGTTCTATCTAGAACAAGTATGGGAGTCTAGAATTAGGAGGTTCTGCAAGGATTATAGGAGCACATTCTTTTTCCCTTTGATAATGACATCCAGTTTAATGGGCTTTATAAGAATTGAGAATGGAAAACTAAATTAAACTTCAATTACACAGATGAAAGAACTACCTTGCTGTACCGGGAAGGAGAAGATCCACTTCCTCATTGCCAGTTGCAGACGATGTCCGTAATCTGCTACCTCTAATATGGGAACCCACGACAACACCATTGTCATCACCACCACGAGGGACCAGTATGAGGCCTTGTGGAGATATTTCGTCCTCCATAGCCTCTGTGGTGGAAAGAGAAGAGCATCTTAAAGTCAATCAATAATGGGGTTTGCAACCAGTCATAGAAGTACAAGGACAGTGTATCAGCACAAGTTTGTTATTCACTAATGCATTTTTATGAGTATTAAAGCATTCAAAGTTGCCTTTGTTTCGAAAACCTCTACAGTAGAAGGTTTTTCAAATACAATGCTACAATAAAGTTTTTGAAAAACACCCGATCCACACGGACCCCTAGATACAAACATTGTTGACAACAATGCTAGTCCACAATGAGTTGAAACAAAATTTTCCTCTTTCAGAAAGGGAGTCCTGTGGTATTGATTCTGACTGAGGCAAAAGTAAGCACTACACAGAACTGGGCCCAAAGACACGTGTATAAATATGGGATTTACCCAAATTTCTCAAAAGTCCAATGGTTTCGCAAGCAAAACATGCTACTGGTAATTTGAAGAATCCTTTCATCAAGGAGTTGATGACCTCAAGTCAGAAGCCACCTTGGTGCAACTGAACTGTTGTGGCAGCAAGGTGACAGGTTATAGTACCCATCTGCAATATTCAGCCCATAAATGGGCACAAGAAGGTGCATTTGAACATCACCAGTACCCTCAAATTAGCAAATTATATCCAGTTTCATGAATATGGATTGCATCTTCAACCGGTAGCTTAAAAGATGGTTAAGAAGCCGAAAGTCATATTAACACCAACAACCCACCCCCACCCCTCCTCCCCAAAAAAAAAAGGCTCTGAAAGAAAATGGTCTCTTTTCTCTACTTCTGGCTGCTCTGCAGAATTCATACATAATTACACCCACAAATACTTGTGGTTTTTATGCCCAATAAATGGTTATGTTAGTTGAAGTACAAGTTTACAATACCTGTTTATTGAGGTAGGAAGCATACCTTCTTCTGCAACAATTTCCAGTCCATCTGCCGTCATCCGTCTGCTGGTCGACATGAGAGATCTTAGGTGTTGAGGAGCTCGGTAGTGAACCCCCAGCAAAAGGCTATAATCCATTATGTGCTGTGATTCCAGAAATTTGCTATCAATTTCAATCTGCCTGCATATAGAACCCTATGGAATGATAAAATTGCAAAAAAAGATGTGGCACTATCGACCAGTCTTATTTATTACTAACAAAATCACTTCTGCTTGTGCTCCCACCACAGAAGAAAATGAAGCTGTTCAACTAGAAGAATAATTTAATAAATGACATAGTGGTGGATTAAAACCCATAGTTCAACAGTAGCAGCAAAAGTAATAGGTTAGCTAATTAATGAGGCTCTTGAGACCAGATGAGATCAATCCGATTTATGTAGTAGTCATAGAGCAGAAGAAGAAGAACTCAATAGTATGCCCGTAATTAAGGAATTAAAGACAAAAATGATCTTCAAAAGCATGAGGTCACGAACTTTAAAAGATTATGTAGACAATATACAGCCTAGAGAATAAAATAACAGACACAAGAAGAAGAGCTACTGCAAAATGGCACAGACGTCACTAGATTTCTCAGCTCTTTGAGATGGAACTTCTGAAGAGCCAATGCATAATTGGTATGACAACTAAATAGGCTGTGAAAATTGAATTTGTTACAACAAAGTAGACAAAAGCCTGATAAGACATTTCCCCTTTATAGCTTTGCAATTTCTTTACATTCTCCTTTCAGGATGAGCATTTTAGACATAAACCAAGAGAAATGGGAGAGAAAAAGAAAAAGTAACAACAAAAATTTCAGTCCTATGAAGAAAGGAAATGAATCTTTTGCATATCACTTACGTCAGAAGGGATTCACGCCATGAAGGTTCTAAAAAAAAGCAATAGTTCAAGTCCAGATCTTTAAGTATTGTGTTCTCATCAATTTCAACCTTGTCTGCTGAACGTCCCAATGAAGAACCTTTTAGATCAAACCTTCTATGGATCCTGAGCTCTGTGCAAAACATATTCCCCATTACAACAAAGCGAAACTGCGACACAAAAATAAAAAATGATTAGTCCTCCCTATTAGCATAAAGCACTGGATCCTGACAACTTGTCATAACTCAGAATTCAGTAGACTGGTAAAGGAAACAATATTCCCTACCTAATAGTGGGAACAGGGTGGTGTTGAAGGAGGCCTACATGCAGACTTTCCAGGGCATTCAGCGAGAACATTTTGCTTCCTGGAAAGTGCTTGGATGGTTTCTTCTAATGTTCTCAAACAGTTTTTAAGTGCAGATTGATGTTTATTAAAAAAAAAAAATTTTTTTGAGAGAATGGCAATGCTACACTATTGAAAAATGAAAGAGCAAAGGCAATTTGGTAAACTAATCAAGCAATGTTGCTTTGGGTACATAGATCAAACAGGAACTGGGATGTGATATTTCAGTTCTTTCAAAGGGTCATCAATGTGGAATTTTTCTAGTTTAATAGATGTCCAAAACCAATGCCTCATAAACAAGTGCTATGTGGTTTCACAGTGACAGAAGGAAGAAAAGAAAAAGATTTCATAATCAATGGTGTTGATTACCTTTTGACCACTAGAAGGCTTTATCCTGTGAAGGCCAAAAAACTTGGTGATCAGTGTGTTCTCATATTTTTGCACATGGTGATGATAGGATGGGAGCATCCTCAGAAGCACCTGCAGGTGGAAATTTTGATCAGCGAAAATTTAGCTAACTCAAATGAATCATTTCCACATCAAATAAGTTTCAGGTACTAGTCAGTCAACATGGAAGGACTCATAAGCACATACTTGGCCATTATAATAGTCAAGAATTTGAAACCCTGAAATTTGGCAATGGATTAATAAAGTTCCACTATCTTGGAAAACTCTCAAGGAAATATTTCAAACTATCATGACTTCTCCTCTCCATTGGCAAGTATTAGTAAAAACATAGCAAGAATTTGCATTCTACAATTGACATTATATATCTAATTATGCTACCTAGACTCAATTTTCAATTTCTTCCTCACCCTTCAACCACCCACACCTCAATCAAACAACATTCCAAACAGGAAGAAGAGCTACCAAAACAATTTCAACAAATCAAAACACAAAACAAAGATTTAAAACAGCATGCAAGTGAATCAGGTCAGATCTAGATGGCAAACCTTCACTTCTGACTTCCGTAATGTCTTAATCATAAAACGATCATCTTGAGAGAGGAAAAACACACTACCACTTTTCCCAGGAGAAGAAAGTTCCCGAAGGGCATCATTTCCACAAATGGACATCATATAGTCTGCAGCATCAATCTTAAACATCTCCCTCAGATTCCTACAAAGGGAGACAAGCCATCTGAGTTCCTAAAGGAATACAAGCAAAACTAAAACAGATAACTCAGTTCTAAATAATGCTACAACTTCTAATATACTATCAATGACTCAGATAAACAGAACAGAATCGCCAAACGTGGCATGAGGTAGTTTACTCGTCCATCAAACTGATAGACAGAATTTTGAAATTGTTCAGTTCTCTTTATTTTTTTCCATTTTGAAGTGGAGTAGAGTATACAGACATCATACACACAACTATCTGAAAGGGTAAACAGCCATACAGTCCGACATTTACTTTACAGTCACTATCAAGCATAAATTTGATGCATAGACACTCAGACACTTGCAAGTATTTCACAACTAAGGAACAAAAGAACACTGGTAAAAAGACTTGAAGTGAAGTAGAGTATACAGACATCATACACACAACTATCTGAAAGGGTAAACAGCCATACAGTCAGACATTTACTTTACATCAAGCATAAATTTGATGCATAGACACTATATCAGACACTTGCAAGTATTTCACAACTAAGGAACAAAAGAACACTGGTAAAAAGACTGAAAAAGCATTCCAGATCATTTCATAATGAGATCTAGATAAAATTGCAAAAGAAGGGACATTCAAAGTGTCAAAACAAATTAAAGATGAGAAATGTGCAACCACTTCAAGCAGATCCCAGTGGATAGGCAACGAACCTGAATACCATTGGACAATAATCTTTCCACTTGAAATCCTCTGACTGGTGCGGTGGTGTCAACTGTGACCCCACCTTTGGAAAATTCATCCAGAAGCTGGCACGGGTGCCAAAATCAGAAGCTCGCACTTCTCGTCTTTGAATGGGCGTAATCTTTCCCACTGTATATCTGGCAAAATTCCAATAAACATTCAAGTATAATTACACATTAGGGGAACAAGACACAAATTCTAAAGATTGGAGCAAAAAGTTTGACAAGTTGATGCCTTGCTGGTGAGAATGGATATCTTTGCTATGATATGTAGACAAGGAATGTCATACACCTAACAATGACTCCACTACCAAAGAGAAAACTATAGCTTTTATGAAGGAAGCCATCAACTTTCAGTCTAAACAACCAAAATAGAAAATCTGCAGGTGTGTAAGGTACATCAATATATTTTTGAATCCAAAGCCTTCATGTCTGCAACAATCCATACTCACTCAAACGCCAGCATTCCTCATCCAACCATGAAATAGAAACAAGAAAGATTGAAAGGTAATTATGATGCATTCTTATTTGTTTTCTCTAAGTGAAACATAATTAATGCTAGAAAAGACATAGCAAAAGACAGAGAGATGTCACCTAATGAAGTATTAACAATTTTACTCTTCTAATCTCTAACTATTTCACCTCTCTTTTTGTCTAAATTTACAGATCCAGTAAAACTTGTTAGATTGATATAATTGTCCAACTCATAAATTTCAAAACAACAATACCCAAGCTTAACAAAGAAAAAGCATAATGTTGATACAATCTTCAATTTACAAAAGATGACTTTTTCAGTTTGCATATGAACAATACCATAATTTAAGAAATAAATTCCGAGTTCTCTACATCTGATAACAGTAACTTATCCAGGTTTCAACAAACTAGAGAAAATAACCCCTTCGAAATTTCCAAGAATGCAAAATTGATATATGAAATGATTTCCAATCTCGTGTTATCCAATCTCGTGTTATTTGATGGTATAGATAGCAAATGCATCAGTTATAAGCTGAAAAACATTATCAGAACTATTAACTGTAAGGCAACCATTGATCAGCAGAAAGAAAAGAAGCATGGACAATTTTCCTTTTGTTCTTGAGAAGGGGTAAGCATGACGACAACAGCAGATACCAAACTTGTTTCAGACTAAAATCTCTTGCAAGCCAGCATATGGACAAATAATGCATGGTATTTCTCTTGATTTTGTTTTCTGCCTTAAGTTTGTTGAGAACCACATTTCTTTTACAGAAGTCTCGAGAACTTAAAACAAAATAAAGATTCACTAAAGTAATAACTCCGATAAAACTTTCACGTATTAAGTTGTCAAGAGGCTTAGCATACCTGATGCCAAGCTGCAGACTAAGCATTAGATCATAGCTCCTGTGCCCTTTAATTATTGTTTCACCCACTCTCTTCATCTCCCTTGCAAGTTTCTTTTGTCGCCTTCGCACTCTTTTGGATGATGGTGAAAAGCTGTCATTAATTACAAGTTCACTGATTAAGACACCTTGCATGTATTCTCGTTCCAAGATCGGAGAATTTCTATCATCCTCATATTCTCTGCCATCCAGAGAAAAATCATAACCAATAACTTTCTCAATTGCCACCTCAAGGCTCCAACGTCTTTCCAAAGAAACATTTGTGGAGCGAGACTGCTCTAGATTCAGCAGGTTTCCATTGGCAGATTTATAAGATGAATTCCGACAAGATCCTTGGTTCCCACCAACTTTGACTACCCCCAGATCAACAGAAGAAGTATGGTGAATATGTGAAACCTGGTTTTGTTTACTTAAATCTGGAAGCAACCCTCGTTTTCTTAAAGCATTAAGGTACATTTCCTGACCAGCAGGAAGTCTACCGCCTTTTGGATAAAATGCTCCTTTTCCATCCTTCAGACCTCGAGTCCAGGTCCCAATATAGCAGCCTCCATCACTCCATGTGTATATCCCAAACCCATGCATCATACCATTCAACCAGTTTCCCTCATAAGAGTCCCCATTGGTCCAGGTTAGAGTTCCTTTCCCTGACATATTTCCTCCTTTAAGATTCCCCAAGTACACATTTCCATTAGCCCATGTGTACTTGCCAGGTCCGTATGATTCTCCATTTGGCAGTAAGAGCTCTCCAACCGTAAAGGAAGGGTTCTCAGAAGTTGTATGAGAAACTTCCCCATTTGCCAATTTTAATGAGCGATTACTTTCACCAAGCGACGAGCCATTAAGAGATAATGTCCTGTCTGATAAAGAATGTGCCCCTTCAACGCCGTCAACTGTGGCCACAGGGCCAGACATGCATAATTTCAAAAGGCGCCAAGTCCTGTACTAGCAGAATGGTACCCAAAGCCTTATCATCAGCTAATTCCGCGCATCTAACACAAAAATTTACACAATCCAGGATGATTTGATCTGTCAGAGGAGAGAGAGCAATTAAAGCACCATAGTATTTCAAAGCTGCTAGCTTTAATGGTCACGAAGCCACAAACATAAAACCCACTTAGAGGTAATGGTTCGAGTCCATGATCAACATAGGAAAAGTGAAGATAGGAAATGATAACTTGTGTAATTTTGTAGATCTTCTGTATCCTAATGTATTAGCAAAGTTTGGAAGCCAACTTTGCCATTGCTTTTCACTCGCGGGATGTAAAGTGTATACAACCAAATTGATATATCTATGTCTGAAGCCATTATGAAAGGTTTGTAGTGAAATTCAAGATGAAAAGCAATACGTTATGGCATTTCCCAAGACAAATTCTTTAAGTGTATAGGCAGAAGGTATCAACACTGACATTCATGAGTCATCCTCCTTGAGTATTGTCTCATACAGGCTTTAAAACCAAGTTTCCACATGCAGTGATTCTCATACAGTTTCCAGTTTTCCACTATATCAATTAGAAACATTCAGAACTGCAGCAGCTATTACACAAACACCTGATGTGATGTCTTCCCTCTACTGGTAACCACGGAAATTCCCACAAATTTGACTATCATGATAAAAAAAAAAAAAAAAAATCACCTCTGCAAGCCCAAAGCGCAACCTCTACTTTCGCATAATTAATGAGGTCATATTGCTTGCAATCCCCTAATAACTCCAGCCAATCACCAGCTAACAAGTACTTTTGAGAGGACAAGTCAAATCCCCATTGAACTAAACCTCAATGAGCATCTTAAAGCACACATTTCTTTAATTATAAGAAATTCCAGATCAAGCTCTTGACACTTGCCAAAGCATTTCTTCTTTCCTATTTGAACAGCTTCAAGCACCTCACAACCAATGAAAGTCGAGAAATATCCCCAGTGACTTCGCAAATAGAACAATTTGTTTAAATATCTTGGTTATAAGATTTTAATTCAACCTCCTATATCTTGTCGGACTTTCTCCTCGATGCATTTAAATTATTTTTATACCAAGAAATCCATTTTGTTTTCGTACGAATAAGTAAATAAGTTCCGGATTACCGTGATCACTTGCAAGAAAAATTTTTTTATAGTTCTTCATGTTTGACATACAAGTCAAACTATTGAAAAAAAAAATTTTAAAACAAAGTGAGAAAATAAATCTTCGGTAACGTCCTTCATCCATATACACTAATTATAGAGTCGTCGTCACCTTTTATCAGCAGCATTTTTTTTCCCTGCGAAATTTCAGAGAATACAGGAACCACAAGCAATAAAATGCACATACTACTTACTGCCTCCATTGTTTCAAACAACAAAATAAAAAACCACTTAACCACGAACAAAAAGGGGAAAAAAAAAGGTCCATACAAATGATTAGGCAAAAAAAAAAAAAAAAACAACGTCGCAGTTTCGAATATTTACTAATACAGAGCCACAACTCGCAGGATAAAGCAAAAACTGAAATGTACTTAGCGTATATAACCATCATATAAGGGAGAGAAAGAGTGAGAAGAGAGTACCTGAAAAGCAGACAAAAAGGAGAGGGGAATTGAGGGTGGAAGTCGAGGATGATGACGTCCAGCTGCTTTTCAGTTTCTCTGTGTTCTGCCTTTTGGACTGGGGGGGATTTCACGGCTCTCTTTCTGAAGAAGACTGATGAAAAGAGAGAAAAGGCAAATCAAAATGGATCGAATCCCCAAGTGGTAAACGACCTGCGACTGCGAAGGCTATAAAATATACACACAAAAATCTCCTCCAAGACGAAGAAGGGAGACTTGTTTGTGGCTATCCACTTACCATACATGCTACTGTACTACTAGTCTTTTAACTACCGTTGCTTGATTTCATTTGACATTTCACATTTGCATCCTTGCGCGTCAATTTTTGTGGAGTCGCTTTCAAGCGTGATGCCAGCAAGATATTTGTTGAGCTAGAATGAGAGATTGATGACCATTAAATGACTGTTATGCCCTTTATTTTTTAAAAAATTTTTAATTTTACTTTCTGTTTTTTGTCTTTTTTTTCATTTTGTTTGATTTTTCTCCATTATTTTCTTGCCTTGTGAAGTTAATCTAAAACACTTTGGAAATTTGGTTAATAAATCAAATACATAATCATATCTTAAGCTAAGATATAGCAATTATTTTCCATGCCTTTCATTTATACCTTATTCTGAAGATTTATACATATTCCATATGGGGCTGTTGCTTATGGCAATTTTCTTTGCTTCTCCTTTTGTTCCAATAAATTGGTTAACTTGGATTAATCATCCTCTGATATGCAAAAGCTGAGATATTCAAAAGACACCTTAACCGCTCTACCCTAATTGTAAAATTTTCTTTTTTGACATATTTCACATGAGACCTTTCTTTTCTTTTCTTTTCCCCCTCCCGTGATATTTTTGATTAACTTCTTGATTAGGCGTTTTATCGAACATGACAATATAAAGGATAAAAATCCCCTTGTGTATGATATGGAAATAAAATAATCCCTGCGTCTGGATAGGAGAAGATTATTTTAAATATTATTTGAAATAATTATTGTAACGCTTTTTGTGATGTAATATATATGAGATAAAAAACTGTATTGAAACAAATAATTTGGAGCCTTTCATGCAATTATTGCACCGTATTTTTTTCTAACAAAACAATGGAATTACGGTTAAGTATATAAAAATTGACTTGCCCTCTCTCCAATTTAATACTAGTAACTTGGCATCCACCAATTAGAGTCTTCGAGGTGGTAATCGGCGAGCCCGGGTGAATAATTTTGTGAAGGACAGCGGACAGCTATTTTATTATTCCGACAGAGACGCTTGGGTCCACGATGTAAAAGTTAATTAGTGATAAGTGCTTAGGTGCCCTTAAGCATCCTACAAAATTGCACGAATTTAAAACTTGTGTACGCCCATAGGAGGACAAGAAACAAAGTTCATATGATATAACAACCTAATCCAATGACAAATAATTCTGTACCTTTCCGAGGCAATGCCAAAACTTTCCTGCTTTTAAGTTGCATTAAGAATATGAGAACATTATTAATCAAATAAACGACTAGTTGCACTAGTTGATAACTAAATCAGCACTACTTTAGTGGGGATTAGATGGTAGGATTAGGCATTGACAGCCAGGTCTATTCTCATTAAAAAGGTGCAATTTGCAAGAATGCGGAATAGTATTTAAGTTTAACGGCCAGAGAGCAGAGACCTGACATCTGCACCACAATAGCCGTAACTTTTTTGCGTCTGAATTTGAAAACAAAAAAGTTGATTCGCTTTTTTTGGTAAACCAATATGGCGTCGAGGCATTTGACGTAGTTGATAATCGTCTCCAAATAAACTACGCCATTTGAAGGTAGCTGCATTAATTGGCATAAAGATGCTGGGAGCATTTTACGTAGTTCAGGAAGTTATCGTATCGATAGAAAAAAAAAAAAAAAGAAGAGAGAATTCGATATTATATCCTCTTCATTCACGCATATTCTTTGCGTGCTTGGGTAGATTTGATGTAATTGACAAATTAAACCTATTACAAATTGACCCGTACAAAAGTTTCGCAATCAAATCTTACCTGCATTTGGCACCCAGTCATCTTTGTGAATCCATATTAAAATCAAAGTATCCCAACATTACACTTGACATACAGAGATCCAACATTAGTAGATCTTTCCAATTTCAAACTAGTTTTTGTTTTGATTACTTCCATTTTAGTTATTTCCTGCTCTCTCTTTTTTAATGCATATAAGTCTGGATGGACTTGGCTCCAATCACCATTATCATAGGTCAAGACATATTCTCGAAATCATAAACCACGACCTTTTACAAGAAAATGATCTATCCTTACCAACCAATTTAAATTTTGTTGAATTTCCTAGTTTATTCTTTATAATAGTGCTTTTTCCAACTAAGAACTTTGGCTTTGTTTGACAAAAAAAATTGTTACGTTTTTCATAAACACATTTTTCAATTAATTTTTTACCTTCGAGTTTTGACACTCAAACGTCTAAGCAGCATGAGCACCGTACCGTGTCAGCCAGATGGAAGCATTTTAGAGCAGCCTTTAGGTTTTCTAATCCTCGCTGCCACTTACAAGATTAGATTAGTTGTGCGTTCATGAATTTGTTAAACTACTCCTATCAAAGCATCATCAATCTAATGGCTCCTCGCGTTGACTGGAACCCGATTGCCGCCCTAGCAGAACCCATATTTTTAATTTGTTGTGGCATCTGAGAGATGTTCTAAAGTTGTGACTGCAAATAATTTAGCTGGTTTATATCCTTTTCTCCGAACATTTAGTAGACGAATTTAATGAATTGAAGTTCACCTAAATTAAATATGATGTGATACGGAAAGGTCCCCCTTTTCAAAAATATCGGGCATCTAACACTTTCAAGAGCTGCCACCAATTATATCATCATACTTATGTTTTATGGACCAAAATAATAAGCAGATGTTGCTTAACATATAGTATATGAGGTTTGATTACTTCAATTCTTTCCATGCCCTTGAGTACACTAATTCTATATCAACTTGCCGATCCAAATAAGATGCTCAAGACATTATATGATACCCTAAACTATAGGTGACAAACACATCCATTTAACTAAATTTATCCATATCCGTTCATGAATATATAGATATGGATATTTTAAATTTTTACATACGGGTATAATAAGTTATCCAACAATATCTGTTTATTAAATGAATATTATTGGGTAGTCCATGAAATCTAATTAATCCATTTAGAATTGTCTTCCTCAAAACCTCCTCTCTTTTCCCACCCTTTTTTTTTTTTAGATTTTTCATGTTGTCATAATGTTAACTACTTTTGTTTCATTATTATTATTATTATTATTTGTTGGTTTTATTTTCTCTTAGTTTGTTAACTTGCTCATTTTTCATCATTATCAATTTATGATAAGTTTTAGCCTCTTTTCCTACCTTTCCAAAATGAAATTTTAAGTTTACATACAAAAAAATACTAGAGATTCAAACTTTTTGGATTAAGCTTTTATGTTAATTTTTACAGTACTTAGTTCAAATTTTTATATTTTTATTGTTCAATTATTAAATAGTATGCAATTTTGCGACATAGAGTACAGATGAGAAAAAAATTAGTAATTAGGTTTATTGCGTATTAAAAGTAAATATTTAAAACTAGTGATGGGTGCAAAGGGTGGTATAAATTGATAACTTAGTTTGCAAAAATGAGTTTATAAAAAGTTAAAATAAATGGGTTATAAATGGGTAATTGGGTTACCCAATTCATTTTTTGACTTACTTATTTATATCCATATAATTAAATGGGTATAAATTGGTTAACTCACTTATACTCATTACCCATTTTAACCAATTCAAACCCGTTCAAATCACTCATTTTAACACCTCTACTCTAAACTAGTTTTTTTAACTACTCATACAAAAATTTCTCGCATCAGCTCTAGCTCAGTTTGAACTACTAATTTCTAATGTAATTGTAGAGGCAGTAAGCCTTCATTTTTCATGTACGTAAAACCATATATATTTAATATTTAGAGGTGCCAGTATGCATTACGGGCTATCACGTATCAGTTTTCTCGTGGGGGTCGTATCAACTGCAATGCGTTTCCATTCACGTAAACCAAAAAAGACAGTAAAAGAAAAGCCTTTTAGCTCGACCGCGATTCACAATTCGATTTTGCTCGACAATTCATTTGGTTCAGGAGTGTTTTTCATCTTAATCTTTGCCCAAGTATTGGTCGGTTACATAACTCCTTGTCGAACACAAGTTAATTGATTTTGTATCTCATGTAATACAGCGAAAACGATCCATCAAGAATAAATTGAATGGAAAGATCTTTTTTTTTTTGCCCCCGATTGAGAAATAATTGTCGGTAAATTATTAATTAGCTTGTTAATTAAGCTAATCATTTCCTGGTGGTTGTCATTCCGCAGCCGACCTTTTGCACCGCCTCTCAATTTATAACATTTCACCCTTTTCTTCGTCTCTAAAATATTCACATATTCACGCCACCCAAGATGTATGTGAGATGATCCATTTTTTTAATAAATTTTGATGATCCATTTTATAAGTCTTAGATTGCAGGCTGGTTTCTTTGTCCGATCAAATTTTTTACAGTACTACCATTTTTCAGAAAATACAAAGACGAATTGTAGGGTTACGGTTTTGACTTAATGGTACATGATTTTCGTCGTTTTCCCAAGTCAACAACATTTGTATTCGTTTCACCAATGATATTACCTTCCTCACGTTTGGATTGTATTTTTTTTTATGATTTTTCATGAAAAAATTACTATAGCGATTTGATGTATGTGAAGAAAAAAGATAATAGGGAAATGTGATCACGGAAAACGATGTAATTTTCTTACAGAAAATGACAATCCAAACAGGGCTTCGTTTGATGATGTCTTGATGAAGTTTTGCATTGATTAGATTAGATTGGGCAAGACAGCTAATTTAAAGGGGGAAAAAGTGTTGGACGGGTGCTTCTTTGCATCAGGCCTCCTTCTTCTGGTCATAGCTTCAAGACTTGGAAGTGCATGCACCCCATGAAATTTTTTTTGGGTATTTCTGGATCTTTGATGCCGAACGTATTCCGAACTACAATTGGAAAAAACACATGGCAAGTCATGTAAACAGATTTGATTAATTCAATTACGACTCCATATTTTAATATCTCGTGTGGAATTTAACTGAAAAAAGAAACAATCTTGACTTGGAAGATGGCCATTTCGTACTTCCACTATCGGCTCTCACTCGTTGCGAGAAAGAATGCATCACAA